GAGTACCTGATAAGGGTACTTCCATCCAGTTTGGAGATAGTCCTTTAAATTATGTCTTTTCCAGTATGTATAATCCCCTGGTTGTAGGTTGTGGGCCATCTGATCTTCATCCAAAGATAGATTACTGAGATAAGCTTTAGATACAAACTTAGAGTGTCCTTTAATAATTCAATTAAACTTTTTAGCAATATAACATAACAGCAAGGAACTATCTGGGAAGTGAGTCTTGGTAAACACAGACCTTAATTCACAAAACTAGAATTTAATATTCAGTAAAACATAATTTTTTTACTTCATTGTGAGGGCATTAACCCTGCAGCCAGGGAAGGCTTTATCCCATCAAATAAAAAATGAGGTTTGCCATGGAGCTGGAAAAAGCCAAGCAGCAGTCTTGGATTTTCCATAGCCCTGCTTGTTTGACAGCTAATGTTTACCCATTTTAAATTCCCTGATTTAGGGGTAGACTGTTGTTATGTTTTAAGGACATCAGGATGGCAAAAGTCTGACACTGAGGGGTTAATTTTTGTAGAAGCAGAATGAACTTTACCTACATGTGCCATAATCTTCACAGATCATTGTGAAATAATACTTATTTACTTTACCAAAGTAACAAAAGATTTTAAAAGCAAATGTAAATCACTTAAAGGCAAAGAAATTTACATAGTCTGTTATTAAAGCAGCATTCCAAGAAAACTTTGTTTTCTTAACAGAGAGGGAGAACCAAATTTCAGACTGGTCTCAATAAACTTGGCCTGATGATTTATATAACTGTAATTGATCATATAGGCTTTTTGCTTGCTGAAACTTTTATAAGGAATCTCAGACTGAACTTTTAAAAGACCTCTCAGGAAAGTCACACTAAGGGCTTGTCACAGATTTCGCTTACCAGATCTAGGTGAATTCCTCCCTTTTCAAGGTCCCAAAAATACCTTGAGATTTCTGTACCTGTTAGTGAGGTAGCCTTCCTAATTTATCTGATAAAGGTGCTGGGGACCTAAGAGTTTCCAATCTCTGGAGGGAGTAGATAGAGAGAAAAGATAAATGTTTTAATTTTACCCATAGGTGTAAATTACCAAGTTGCTGTAAACCATAAGTAGCTTGAGGAGAAGAGCTTCTTTATACCCAGTTTAGCATTATGGTCTGAAAGTCAGAAACTTGTATTTATCCAAAAGTCCTTTTTCTTTTTTTTTTTATTATTAATTAATTTATTTTTGGCTGTGTTGGGTCTTCATTTCTGTGTGAGGGATTTCTCTAGTTGCGGCAAGCGGGGGCCACTCTTCATTGCGGTGCACGGGCCTCTCACTATCGCAGCCTCTCTTGTTGTGGAGCACAGGCTCCAGACGCGCAGGCTCAGTAGTTCTGGCTCACGGGCCCAGTTGCTCCGCGGCATGTGCGATCTTCCCAGACCAGGGCTCGAACCCGTGTCCCCTGCACTGGCAGGCAGATTCTCAACCATTGCGCCACCAGGGAAGCCCCAAAAGTCCTTTTTATAAATCTTGAAGAGGAAGCATTTTTGCAAAGGCATCAGAGTGAAACCGTAAGTGTCTATAATGACAAAAGACTTAAGGCAAGTTTAAAATCTGATTACAATGTAATTAACAAGGTAACTTGGTTACTGTTGTAACATATGACACTTAAGATAATAACTAGAAATATGACTGATAACATTTTATCAGGACATATTAGAATTTTTTTGGAAACTCCATATAATTTCTAGAATATTTATATTAGTAACAATTACCATACAATATAACCTAAGAAGATTTATTACACATTTGACAATACTTCCTGTGTACTTTTAACATAACCAAATGAACCAAATTAATGTAATATCTCTCTTTGGGATGTTTTAGGGGCCCTTTGAAGCACCCCAAAGTTAGCTAGAGGTCAAAGAAACTTCATCACAATTTGATTTGGGAAGTTTTATCAAAAAAATCAAAAGGGTTTAAAACACTCAGTCAGATAAGATCATACATCACTGTGAAACAATAGTTATTCACTTAGCCAAAGTAAGAATAAAAGATTTTAAAAGGGGCTTCCCTGGTGGTGCAGTGGTTAAGAATCTGCCTACCAATGCAAGGGACACGGGTTTGAGCCCTGGCCTGGGAAGACCCCACATGCTGTGGAGCAACTAAGCCCATGCACCATAACTACTGAGACTGAGCTCTAGAGCCCACAAGCCACAACTACTGAGCCCACGTGCCACAACTACTGAAGCTCACACGCCTAGAGCCTGTGCTCCTCAACAAGAGAAGCCACGACAATGAGAAGCCCACACACCACAACGAACGGTAGCCACCGCTCACCGCAACTAGAGAAAGCCGGAGCACAGCAACGAAGACCCAACTCAGCCAAAAATAAAAATAAATAAATAAATAAAATTAAAAAAAAAAAGATTTTAAAGGCAAAAATCAAACTAATCACTTAAAAGGTAAAGAAGCTTAAAATCTGTCATCCAAGGCAGTTCAACGTCTTAAGAAAATTTTTACATGCATAAAACTCCTTTCTCAGGGTCCGCTTTCCACAAACTTTTTTATCACTTTTCTGTATCCATCACTTTATTTTCCCATTCAGAGACAACCACCTGTAAGTTAGACCTACTTCCTTTTCTCTTAACAAACTGCAATTCCATTCCTCATACCTTCTTTACTAAAAACATACATCTTACTTTCCTTAAGCAACCATGAACTGTCCTTTATATCAGCACTCTGTAGATTGGTAAACATACATCCAAATAATAATTTTTGAAGAATGTGCTTTCTTATAGAAAATATCTCAGTGTGGCACCAAACACATTTTTTAATAGTTCTAAACCTTTTGTTTCTCTGTAAAAGGAAGCTAGTGTCCAGTAATTAATGTTTCAGTATCTTATTTTATTTGGAAATGGCTTAGTTATTTAATAAACTTCCATCCTTTAATTTAAGTTAGCACAACTCTAAATTTTCAAGTTGTAGAATATCTGGAGAGATCATTCTTAAGTAAATATGCCTAAAACATAATTATTCCTAAAAAGTTCACCCAAAGCTCTTATCTCACTTGCAATTTTTTTTTAAAAGTTTCTTCTTATCGAGTTATTTTTATTGCTGACAAATTTGTAACAAATATAATAAGATCTTATTTAGTTTATATTAAACCTAGGCACAATGAAAGTATTATACTTAATGTTGACGGCTGGAAAGACATGTCTATATTAATTAGATCAAGAAACTTAAACATTAATACCAGGTATTAGGGACTTCCCTGGTGGCGCAGTGATTAAGAAACCACCTTAACGGGTTTGAGCCCTGGTCCAGGAAGATCCCACATGCTGCAGAGCAACTAAGCCAGCGCGCCACAACTACTGAGCCCACGTGCCTAGAGCCCGTGCTCCACAACAAGAGAAGCCACTGCAATGGGAAACCCGAGCACCGTAATGAACAGTAGCCCCTGTTCACCCCAACTAGAGAAAGCCTGTGCGCAGCAACGAAGATCCAACACAGCCAAAATAAATAAATAAATAAATTTACAAAACAAACAAACAAACCAGGTATTAATTTAATATTGAATATTTCCCAGTTCATGTGAACCTAAAATTTGTTTAATTTTTCTTATATTTAGAATTGTTTGATTTGTAAGTGCTTACTTTTCTTTTAAGCCAATTAAATAGAGCTCATTTACAAACTAACCTCAGTAACATTATTCAAAGACAAAAATACATACTGAGACATACACATATATCCAGACAGACAGAGATCTCATAGTTTCCACTTGAGATTTAAAATGTCTCTTTGCCATTTTTTGTTTTTTTTTTGTTTTTTTTCTTGGCTTGAAGTTCTATTAATTAACCCAAGGCTGAAGTCTCAGGCAAAGTGGGCTATGTTTGTAGCTCAAGGACATGATAAGAGTTAACTTCAAGCTTTGTCCTAGGCATATTTTTGTTCTCTCAGGGTCAGAATTTTGAAGAAAAGTATTTTAACAAGCTAGCTTTTTCTAATTGCACATGCAAAAAGAATTCGTTTTGCAATTTTAAGAACAGTTTTATTTTAACCAATTTTCTCCAGAGTCTAAAGAATATTGTGGCCATACTGTCAAAAATCATCTTTCTCTTTCTGTGGTCATGGTTTCATAGCTAAAATTTAAACCAGATAGGGCAGATTGGCTGATAAAATGTTGTCCCAACAGGGATTGTCCCTCTGGGGAGGTGGGGGTCTTCGTTTGGTCAGAAAAATCTGAAGGAGTGAGGGAACTTGCAGGAGTGGGGGAAGCTTGGTTCCTCTCTTCCCCTGAGAGTTGGGAGAAGTTAGAAGAGGATCATTTAGAATGTCAGGAGAGTGTTGTTTTTTTTTTTTTTCTGATTCCTCAGGTCTTTGATTATGGAGCCACCTAGAGTAGGATTATAATAAAAGGGGCATAAAGTCCTGAACATAAGGGAACCTCAGTCCATTTTTCTCATCCTGTGGCAATAAAGATCTAATTGTAGGAGACCCATTTTCAAGCCATTTTTCTTTGTCATTGGATCATAGCTATTGGTCGACTAGTCATTTAAAATTTTCCGTAAGTGTTCCCAGGTTGGGGTGGAACCTTAGAGGAAGCACTTCCCATTTTGGCTCCAGCACTTGGTAACAGACTTTAGACGTTAGACGTTAGTGCGCTCAAATCAAAACATAAAACTTCACCTCTTCAGCTGTGTCTCCCCTTCTGCCTGGCAGAAAAATAAAGCCATCTCTCTTTTCCTCCAAAATCTGTCTCCGTATTTTTGTTCAGCATCGGTGCACAGGGAAGCCGATATTTCGGCAACAACTCTAGTCGGGATGGTATAAATAGGAATGGCCTTGGTCTTGAGCATGGGGTTGTTTGAACAAGTTAATTTCCTGATTCTGATAACATCTTTCAAGCCCCAGCTTTAATGAAAGCAGAAATGCCTTTTTTTTCATGCAATTATTTTTCTCAGAATGGGGAATGAAAGAAATCCAAGATTTCAGAAATTAGAAACTGGCTTTATTCCTTTTCAGGCTGCAGACTCACATGAGGCTTAGTTTCAGGGACGAATTCAGGAAACCTGAGAAATAGATAGTGACTTCTGCTTGCTTTGGTTTCTCAGTTTCAACTTCTGCTTCTAGCCACACCTTGTCCCCCTTTTTCAGAAGCATAATTATAGCACCAGAGATATTAACTTACACTTCTTTGGCGATCAGATCCTTTTCCAAAACTTGGCTTTGGTTCGTCATTAGCCAAACCTTCACCTTGCAGTGGCGAAGCTCTACATCAAAGTCGAAATAGTAATTTCCAGGAATCCTGCAGGACCTAGGAGGAACACAGAACAGTCTATGAGAAACTGATACCTTAGAGGAGCGTGTATCCTTCCAGAATGCACTGGTGGTGGTGTGATTTCACACACTGAACTTGAGATGCACTGCTCTGCAAGTTGTTCTGTCTAGACTCTAACATCTAGAGTTTCAATTCCTGTCCTAGCTCCCCCTGTGCTATCAGAGTCCTCAATACAGTGTCCCGTACTTGCTCTATTTTTGTCTGGCATTCCTGGATCCAGATGCTGAACCTTCCCTGGAGCGAAGTCTCGAGGACTGCTATGCTATACTTAGGCCAGTACTGACCACTTCAGGACTGTTGCAGTTTTGTATTTGGTGATCCTTATTCAGAGCTTGGAAACTTGAGCTTGTTATCCACTAGCCACCCTATCCCTGCCCCCCGGGGAACTTCTTTCACTTTTATCTGAGCAAGCTATGCATCAATCGGAATGTCAATTTTCCATTAGCCTTCCTGTGGGGATTAAGATGCTACCTTGGTTAAGAGTGTGAGCTTTGGCTTATAAAGGAAATAGTGTAGGTCATATCTCATCCCTGGTCAAGTTTCTTAACATTTGTAAGGGTCCATTTTTTCATCATCCACAAAAGCAAGTCATGATATATACTCTCATTGGTCTGTTCTGGAAAAAAGTTAGCATTAAATATTATGTTTGCTCTTATGATTATAACTGCTGGCCTCTAAGTTTTGGACTGTGATCTATGCTCCTAATAAGATTTTAGGATAATGTCATAATAAAGAGGCAGTGTCAAATCATTTTACTGTACTTTTTCTTTTCCCCTTACTTTATGGGTCTGCAATTTACTTCATGACACTATTCTTGAATCCAAGAGCCTGGGTCTCTTATTTTCAGGAAAAACAAACTTCTGAATCACTAAATCTTAGACATTTGATCCTAGGATAGGGGCCCATGGATATTCAATGACAATAATGGCCCTATAAGAAATTTTTCAAAATATGTGAGATTCTCTGGGGGATGGGGGAGCCTTTGACTCAGTCTTACTCAGCTGCAAGCAGCAGTTTATAAAGCCTCCCCATTCTGAGTGGTTCTTAAACTTTGGCATGCATCAGATTCACATGGAGGCCTTACTAAAACACAGATTGCTCACCTCCAGAGTTTCTCATAGACTAGATCTGGGGTAGAGACTGAAATTTGATTTTATAAGAATATCTCATGTGAAGCTGGTGCTGCTGGTCTGTGGACAACACTTGGAGAAACTTGACTCTGACTCATCCACTTTGAGCCTACACAGCAAAGACAAGCAGCACACCAGGGACCCCGCGTTGTAACCAGGGGGAAGGATCTAGAGCATAAGCATACCCAGGGCTTACTGAGTGCCAACTTTCCCATAATATCTGGACTTGGTACAGTCTTTGTGATCAAATGCACACCTTCTCATATAGTACTATGTGCTATAAGGTTCCACTAGCTCTTTTTTTTCCTCTCTTAACTAGAAAGACTGTCCTGATGCCTGATTCCACCTCTGCAACTATGAGTTCTCTTGACATCTCCACTACATTGACTTACCCTTACGGAGCAGTGTTGCCTTAAGTAACAACCTGGGTCTGGACTTTTAGGTCAGATTCCATAGTCTTCATAAGACCTGTGGTTTGGGCTAACGAACACTCTGCTAAAGAAGCCCTTTGTGCAGTCCATAAGTTTCCCCAGATTCTTTCTATTCTTACTTGCTATCAATACCATGAAGATTATGACATTTTACCCAAAGAGAAAGGGGGAGGGGAAAGTAAGAGACAGAAGAAAAGGCTTTCTTACTTCTAGGACCTGCAACTCCAAGAGGCCCCAGAGGTCCAGGAGGCCCTGGAGGTCCATAGCATCCAACTTACTCAATGAAAGTATTTGCTATCAGAAGAGACATAGTGAATCTCCACACACCTAGAACAAGAAAGCAAAGAGGAGTTATTTGCTTATGCAATCTGTGTGGGTAGAATTAAAGCTTGGTCTGTCAAAATTATACGTTGGCTCTGGAATCAGACATACTTGGCTCCAAATGACAGCTGTGCCACTTATCAGCTAATTGAGCATGTTAAACTCTACAGTTTAGCTGGCTCTTTATTAATTCCTCTGTTCTGTTATGAACCACCAGACTGAAATCACTACTCATTTACAAATGCTATTTCATTCAATATTATTTATCTCCTTTCTTATCCATCTCTTTATCAACTGAACATAATGAACACTTAATAAATAACATTGGCCTATTATATGAATTATTATTAACAGAGGCTCCGAGGTATTGCCAATTTTGCACAGGGCACAATACTAGAAACTTTATTTTTTAAATCAAATTTCCATTTCAATTATATAAGAGATTAGTTCTTGGCCCACAATTACAAATAAGAAAATTGAGATTCAGAAAGTTATAATGACCAATCCAAAACCAGAGAGCCAGAAAGAAAAAGGGGTAGGATCTGAATCCTAGTCTGAGCCTGGACCATTATTTGAATGAGTTAATAAATGAATGAATGCCTATACTATATGGTCCTGCCCTTTCCCGTCCCCAGGTGCTCAGCCTTAGATCCTTTAAAAAAATTTACCCTTATATCCTTTTTGTAAACATGCCTTATATTTAAGCAAATAACAAAAAGCAGCCTGGACTGTTTGTCTTTTATTTATGTATTTTTCCTGTCCCCCAAAGCAGAAGCCCCTAGAAATAATATGTAGAAAATTCCACGATCAACATTGGAGGTTTCAGTGCCCTATTAAGTCCAGTTATTCCTAATCCACCCTCTCCTAGGGACCAGGCAACTGGACCATCCCTTCCTGCAGCTTCATCAGGTCCCTACCAGTGATTCTCAGGCAAAGAGACTTAGTTCTTCTTGGGCTGGCTTCTCCCAATGTGAAGGACCCCTGTGTTACTCCAGCTGTTAAATCTGAAGCAGGGGCCCCTGTTAGCACCCCACTGTAGCAAGAACTTCTTAAAGGTTTGAAGTCACCTCTTCAATATTTAAATATTTTCATGCAATCCAACCTGGGTTCACAATAAGATTAATGTTCAACCACAAGCAGGATTTGAGGTCACCTACCCTGACTAGCTCCAGAGTTTGGACTAGGAAGATTCTAGAATCCTGGTCACCCCGCGAGTTTCTATCAGAGATATCTCTTATGGCAATAGCTCTACAGGTAAAACCAAACCTCAAGGGTGTGATTTTCCTTGCTCCTTTACTACTCTTTGAATACTTTCTTGCTGTATCTAATCTCAGATCAGGAGGCAGTGAAAGCAAGCTCCTGGATGAGAAATCTGTGTAGGTCAAAGAACTGGGAGCCGTGAGAACTTAATCACTGGGGACAAAAACAACCATTATTTGAAGTCCAATGTGTAGTATACACAAGTTAGTGTCGTTAATGTTAATACGTGAACACCACATAGGAAAAACAATGTCTGTCTAGCTATTATTATTACTCATGCATCATCTCTTGAAATCGCCATTACAATACCATGACTACCATGACTATTTTTTACCTGGCTTTTGTTGATTACCCCCTCATCATGCAGGTCACAATATTTCTCTGTTCTCTGTGTACCACTTACACATTAGTGGACGAATCCACAGGCTCAACCAGACTCAGGTTCAATCCTTTTGACAACACTACAGATGGTATTATGTTTCTTTTTGTGATATTAGTAGGTACTGATGCTAGGTGTCCAGATCCATTAATTCATTGCTGTTTCAAAACAGTGTTATTCTATGTTCTATAATATGTTTTTTCATGTATTAGTTGGAATAACTTGATAAAGAAAGTCAACTCTTTGTCTACTTTTTGATTGTCTATGATCTTTTTCATTTGGTAGTTGGAATAATTTGATAATGAGACTCTACTTTTCATGTAGTATTTGGCTACCCAGGGGTATAATTCATATAAGAAAGGCAGAACAAATGCTTGACTGTTTTTCTTTTATTTGCCAGTTTTATTGATTTCCTTTCATCCTCCAAAGGTGGTGAATTCATTTTGTTTGCTTTTTATTTTATATTACATTAACCAAAGCCCATACTTTCTTCAGATTTCCTTATTTTTTTTTTCCTAGAGTCCTTCTTCTTTTCCAGGACTCCATCCAATACACCACATTGCATCTAATTGTCTGTCTCCTTTAGGTTCCTCTTGGCTGTGGTAGATTCTCAGACTTCTCTTGTTTTTGACAACACTGACAGTTTTCAAGAGTACTGATCAAGTATTTTGTAGAATGTTCCTCAACTGAGATTTGTTTAATATTTTCCTCATGATTAGAGAGTGTTATGGATTGGGGGCAGGAAGACTACAAAGGTAGAGTGTCATTATCATCACATCCTATCAAGGATACATATTATCCACATGACTTATTCATAATAAGGAGGTCCAGTGGTTAGGACTCTGTGCTTCCACTGTAGGGGGCATGGGTTCGATCCCTGGTCGGGAAACTAAGATGCTGCATACCACGAGGTACGGCCAAAAAAAAGGGGGGGAGTCTGACTCAATTTTTTGATGGTTTTTTTTTTTCCCTTTTTTATTCATTTTTTTGTGGGGGTTAATTTATTTTATTTATTTTTGGCCGCGTTGGGTCTTTGTTGCTGCACATGGGCTTTCTCTAGTTGCAGTGAGCGGGGGCCACTCCTCACTGCAGTGCACGGGCCTCTCACCGCAGTGGCCTCTCCCGCTGCGGACCATGGGCTCTAGGCACGCGGGCCTCAGCAGTTGTAGCTCGTGGGCTCTCGAGCGCAGGCTCAGTAGCCGTGGTGCACGGGCCCAACCGCTCCGTGGCATGTGGGATCTTCCCGGACCAGGGCTCGAAGCCGTATCCCCTGCATTGGCAGGCGGATTCTCAACCACTGCGCCACCAGGGAAGCCCCATTTTTTGATGTTTGCTGATAGTTTTTAAGCCTCATTCCTCCCTTTTCTCTTCCTGCTTCACATCTGGGAAAGCTGATAATAAAGTCCAGATGCTCCTTTCCTCTGGTGCTAGTGGGAGGTACAAACCACATAAGCTTCTCCACATGCAGCCACACTGTCTTGTTTATTGTAGCTTTATAATAAGCCTTGAAGTTGGGTAGCCTGAGTCCTCCAGCTTTGTTTTGCTTCTTCAGTATTGTGTTTCTCTATGTCTTTCACCTTCTATTACAAACTTTAGATCAGTGTGTTGATACCCATATGAGAAGTTACTGGGATTTGGGTTGGAACTATGTTGAATAGATCAAGCTGGGATGAATTGACATCTTAACAATATTGGGTCTACCAATGCATGAACATGGAATATTTCTCCATTTATCTTCTTTGATTTTTTTTCATGGCAGTTTTGTAGTTTTCCTGATATATATATTATACGTATTTTGTCAGATTTAACCTAAGTATCTCATTTTTTGGTACTACTGTAAATTCTACTGTGTGTGTGTGTTTTTTATTTCAAGTTCTGAACGTTCATTGGTGATACAAGGGAAAACAACTTTTTTGTTTTTAAAATGTTATACATACACAGTCATGTCTTCTGCTAACAATGACAATTTTACATCTTTCTTCTCATTCTCTATTCCTTTTATTTCCATTTCTTGTCTTAGCATCCAGTTTCTGACCAATAAGTATATTGCTAGTTGTAGGTTTTATAAAGATGTCTTTGATCAAGTTGAGACAGTTTCCCTCTGTTCCTACTCTGCCGCTGATATTTTGTTGATACAGTACTAGAATGTTTGTAGTGAGGAGGCCCCACTTGATGAGTTGAGAAAGTGACCATACAAGGATCACCAGTGACAAAGACCACATGTTCAGAGACTGAACCTTGACCCGTCCAAGTAAAATCAGCCAGATGTATATGGATGGTATTGCCTCATTGTGAATATCAACTGCAGCAACTTCTCTCTGGTTAAAAATATAACCAGGACATTGGCCTCAGGAGAGACCAGAAGACCAAAAACTTAGAGAAATCAATTCTGCAAGTCATCTAATCTCAACGTGAAAATCAAACCAAGTGAGACGAAAACAAGATAGCTGAGAAGTCGATTTTCAGGCTTCCTTCCAGAATATCAGAATGCTTGGACCAAGAAAAAGCACCCTCTCCATGGGAAGTCTTGGTAAGCGTACCCACTCTTAGTTACAATAATGAATTAAACCTCTGATATTACTTTCCATTACCCCTCCTTCTTTCACATGGAAAATATTATATCAATATATCTACCCTGGGAGACCATATTCTCATAACTTTGTCAAAGGTATAGATTTTATTTCTGCGTTACTGCTGGTGAAAGTGGGTAGGAATGGAAGTCAAATGGTGACCGTGAATGATGTCATTATTATTTAATTACTCTCAGTTACGCAAATTAGTACAGAGGACTTATGAGAGAATGGCAGGTGGTGAAACATCCCACATATGTACTTTTGAAATATATATTCAGCTTTAGTACTCTGATGCCCAGAGTCTAAGTCATCAGCATGACACCTGTCAATACCTGCCAAGGCTCTTTCCCTTCCTCTATATTTGCCTCTGATTCTGGCGTTCATGTTTTATCACTATAAAGCTGAGTGTTTCTGTGCTACCTCTTGGGTTTGTTTGTTTGTTTGTTTATTTATCCTTTAATTCATCTTTTGTCTCTTTTCTATCTCTCCCTCCCACACATTTTCTTACTATATTATGTCCATGCTCTCCTTTACCACTCTTACTGTTTTACTAATAATAGTAAGATATTAAAGTTTACTACTGATTTCATTCATTGTATCCAATTTAAAAGCCAAAGCTATTGTATATGTTTCATCTCTCTATCCACTATCCCCTCTCTCTCCTCTATCTCTGCTTTCACATTAGACCATAGCATATTTGAGTTATCCTACATAAATTAATAGGACAAAGTAGAAAAATACAAGCAGGTAAAAATTAGGAGTAGACAAAAGACAAAA